TGAATTAACCTAAATAAAAATTCTATAAATTATAGTAGGTGGTTAAACAATAACTACCATAGTACAAAATTCAAATAGTATATTACACTACAAGGGCAGAAAGTGTGAGATTCCTGCACTGCGCGCCAGGAATCTCACACTTTCTGCCCGTGTAGTGTATACTATTTTTCTTGCTACCCGGCCGAAAATACAACCCAACCCGGCCGAAAATACGGGATAAAATTAAATGTGTATATCGAAACATATTGATGCCTGCCCCGATATTTGCGGCAGGAGCGAAGCCTTCGCAGGGGCGTAACTAGGCTGGGGCAGCCGGGGCACCGCCCCACGGCCCGTGGGGTAGGGGCCCCCAAAACGTAAAAAAAATTAAATGTCTTACAGCAAAAAATAAAATCCTCACGCAGCAGAAAAAATCCATTATATTATTCATAATCCTGATTTCTTAAAATAAAAAAGTATTCTATAGTTATTAGCCATCAGTGATTAAGGGCCATTTTAGGCATGCGGACGGGACAAATTACAAAACTGTTTTAAAAAAAAAATTGTAGGTGATTTATTATATAATATAATATTTTGGCACGAAAATTGTCAAAAATATTCTTCTTTTATTAAGCTATAGCTAGTATATAGCTAGTATATATACATTAAATTAAAAAAACGCAATATTTTATAAAAGTAGAGATAACTTTAATAATTGACAGGTGTGGACGAGACAAGAGAAATCTTTTTTTTGTCCCGTCCACACCCTTAAATTATTAAAATTATCTCTACTTTTATAAAATATTTCTTGCGTTTTTTTTATTTAATGTATAGCTTAATAAAAGAAGAATATTCTTTGACAATTTTGATGCCAAAATATTATATAAAAAATTATCTACAATTTTTTTTATAAAAACAGTTTTGTAATTCGTGCGTTTCACGTGCCTGAAAACAATTTTAGATGATGTCAACCCATGAAGTTTAAAAAAATACCTATTATTACCTGTACACAATTTTACTCATTATTTTGTTAAAAAAAAAGATTAAAATATAGAAAAAAAAATGTTTTTATGTTATTTTAAACAGTTTTTTTTCAATTTTATCCATGGGCCCCAATTCACACCACATGCCTAGTTACGCCCCTGAGCCTTCGTAGCCCTTGTAGTGTAATATACTCGAAAATACGTTGTTTCGTCCCCGATTCCAATGCATCAAACGTAAATTTAACCAATGCATAAAACGTAAACTTTCTGCCGTGGAATCGGGGACGAAACAACGTATTTTCGGCCGAGGTAGTAAGAAAATTATTTATTATACGTGGTGTGTTCAGAAAATAACGGGAATTGTTAAATTCGGAGGGTCCGGTTGTCATAAAATTTTCTTTATTATGTTGGTATATATGCCCCCAAAGTATGATAACAACTTTAGCTGTTTTCATTCTTTACTTTGTCTGTGGCAGCCGCTAAGGTTAGACGTGTTTTATGAGCTCGGCGATTTTTCGTTCGTTAAAAGAAATGGATCAAAGAATTTGTATCCAATTTTGCTTAAAAAATGAAATAAATTCTGTGAAATGTTAACAAAGGCCTATAGTGAGTCTGCTATAAGTAAAACAAGAGTTTACAAGTGGTATAAGAGTTTCCAAGATGGCCGTGAAGACGTTGAAGATAACGAACGCACAAGCACATTAACAACCGATAAAAACATAAAAAAAGTGGAATAAATGGTTATAAACCATCAGAGAAGTCGCTGATGATGTTGGTATATCGATTGGCTCATCCCATGAAATTTTTTCGAATTTTTGGGTATGAAACAGCAAAATTTGTTCTAAAATTGTTAAATTTTGAACAACATCTTTGGTCAATTTTAAATAAACGTTTTCAAAGATGGCGAATGCGCCGGGCTTAATAAACAAATGGTTTATTTATATTATAAAGTTAAGTTCAATGTTAATAGTTAAGAAAATGAACAAGGAAATAGGTAACGGTTTTCTCATTGACATTGTCTACGCAAGAACGCTTCACTGGACATCGCCTCGACCTTAAACCCTGATTTGATTTCAATGTGTTCATTCACACATCGTCGCCACAGTCGTTCATTCACGTAAACCTCAACGTCATTTCTTCTTTCGTTCCGCGCCATTAACCCACAAAATGCGCTATTTATTTAAATGATTTATTTATTGCAAGTGCGTGCTGCGTAGAGATTTAATAAATTGCATGAACCTGTAAAATTCTTTGCACTAAAATATAGGGTTTGATATGTCCATGCAAATCTTTTAGTATAATAGAATGCGGTTTTAAAAATATTGATCAATTCCTATTGCATATTCCTGCACCTTAAAAATATAATAATCGAAAACTCATCTAAGGTTGTGAAATCTAGTAGCTATGATTTCCTTGCATGTTATAAAAGTATATTATTATACGAGAGATAATGCAGGCTATTATTTACGAGTGTAATACTATACTTTATATACTCCAATAGATATTAAAACAATTTTTAAAAACAAATAAATAAAATCTGACATCCGTCAGATGGTTAACCTCACTTATTGCCAGTTTTAAATATTAGTATAGAGGCCCTCTCCTGAAAACCCGATTGGTTTAAATTACACTTCATATTAAAATCGGCCAATCACGGATGCCCAACAACGTGAATAATAAGTTTATTATTTCCGTTAAGAACTGTTAGGCGGGGAATTTTTATAATTATACGAAAAAACCAATACACTAAAAGCTTCTTAAAAGCATCGAAATTGTGGATTTTTTATTTCAGATTGTTGGCAACCCTTTTAATTTTCATGTCAACGATGTGTTAAAAACTCCTTTTTCTGGTTTGGTTTATCAAAAGTATATTATAAAATGTGAATAAAATTATTAGAAGTAAATGTGAACTGTGTCTAGCTCTTAGAAGCATCGAAATAGACAAAACACATTTTGTCGTTTTATTTTGACTGACTTTAAATATTTAATTTTGACATTTTGGTTCACCTGAATTGTGCCAGATTGTGGTAGAAATAGACAAAAACTCGTTACAATGAATTATTGTGCTTCGTGGTCGTGTGGATAATAAAATATTTACTCATTATTACTTTACTCATTTTAGCAATAAAAACCAATTTTAACAATTAACAAGAATTAAAACATTTGTCATTTTTTAATTGTCATTAATTATTAAAATTGTTTTGCTGGGCTTTATTGCTTAACCCTAGATCACTCGCGTCCTGGTCTTTTTGACCGACCTCTTGGATTTTTCTACATAGTATTCGAAACGCGCATGTCTGGATTTTATGGCTCCGTGACAATTCCTAAAAACCTTCAATAATATTTTGTTACGTTTCAAACTTTTAAAGAATATTTTAATTTTAAATAATAAACTTTTTTCTTTTTCTTTTTGTTTTATTAAAAAATAATATTTTTTCACGCTATAAAAGTTTTGCATTGTTATTATATTATTATAATAAACAATAAAAAAATATCATAACTCTTTATATTTTTTTAAACTGCAAAAATCGTGAATCGGTCGAAAAGACCGGGGCGCGAGTGATAACGTTAGGTGCGCGAGTGATCTAGGGTTAAATGAATAGAGTACCTATAACCCGTCTAATAAATCATTATTTTTTTTACTTAATCTGATTACCCACCTGATGTAAGTTTTGAAATTTTTGTGAAATACTCTTTTTGTGTAAACATTGCCCTATTTATGTTATATATTTGGTTTAAACGCTAGACCAGCTATGCTAAGAATATTATCATAATAATACTAATAATAATAATATTAGACTTTTGTACCAGATACAAAATACAAGTATATTTTACTTGTACTTTGTACTAAAGCCTAACATTATTATTAGTATTATTATAATAGTCCATTCACTTTCTTGCTTATAAACCTAAAAACTAAGTACCTCATTTTTTGTTTATATATTTTTCAAAGCATTTTATTTGAACTATGTAGGACTTATATTGTAGGTATTATAATAGTACATTATAGACCCGGCAGAAAAAGCGATTTATATATAATATTTTATATTCAAGCATTTAATTAAAGAATTTCTTTAGATTGTCACATCATTTTTAGGTTTATTTTAACTGACATGATGACAATTTATATTTATTCTGTACGGAGTTTAATAATAATTTGACTTTTGAACTAGTTTTAATATAAAGTCTTTCTATATTGACTTATGAATCTTATAATATGGAAATTAATTTACGCTTGAAAAAAAGACTATATTATAATACGAGAGATAATGCAGACCATTATTATTTAGATACCTACTTCAATAGGCCTAAAATAAATAAAATCTGACATCTGTTAAATGGTTAACCTCACTTTTTACAAATTTTTAATATTAATATAGTCACCTTTTGCCAATTTAAAACCCGATCGGTTTAAATCACAGTGAATATTAAAATCGGCCAATCACTGATCATCGATACCAAACAATATGAATAATGAGTTCATTAATTTCATTGTTAGGCATTAAAATTATTATTGTTTTCACGCAAAAAAAAGTATAGTAATAAATTATGCAACAAGTTTGGTAAACTGCATTTTCATGAATAATATAAACTCGTGCACAAGTTTTAATTAATCACGAGCGTAGCTTGCGAAGTGTCTAGAGAAGTTTATAAAACGAATTGCATCGTATACTTTTTCTAAATTCAAACACAAAAATGAGGTCATTTAAACAAATAAATAAATAAAACCTGACCTCTGCCAGACGAATTTTACCTCACTTTTTAAAAATTGTCATAGTCGCTTTATTTTCACGATTTTATGACTTACGAATATTAACTAACTTAAAAGTTAATTTTAGAACGTGACTAAACTTTAGCCCATGACTAAAACACTATAAAGTCACAGCTTGTCAATGTGTATTTAGAAGATCACTTAACGTGATGGAAACATATACACACATTGTCTTTACAACATTTTATTTATAATTACTTATAATAATTCGTTTGTTAAATATTAACGACTATTTTTTTTAATAATGCAAATTATTATAGAAATGCATGGTAACTTTTCAAACAACAGTGAAATGTAGGTAATCGTTTCTATTGTAGACATTGAACTTGATGGCAAGTCGTGTGGAACCTAACTTAAGCTATATTTACTTTCATAGGAAAACATTAATCCACAATAATTATATATATATTTTTTTTTAGCTTGTTACTCCAGAAGATAAAGTAGGCGCTTTGGGCACAAACAATATTAGTTCCGATTTGACACCACTTCAAGGATTTTTGATGGAAGCTGTGCTTACGTTTTTGCTTCTCTTCGTAGTCCATGCTGTTTGCGATACTAGACGAAAGGACATTAAAGGGTCTCCTGCATTGGCTATTGGATTTGCCGTAGCTGCTTGTCATCTTAGCGCGGTAAATAGTTATTATTTATTATTGGAATACGATCATCCTGGAGGATGCGTAACCAAGACCCATAGTTTTAAAAATGTATTTTTTTTTCTTAATTATACAATGCCCAAGTCAATAACAAAAAAGTTTAAAAATATGTATGTATTTATAAGACCAAAATAATGTTTTTAAAAATTTATTTTATTCTAAGTTATTTTCACAAAATAAACAAATTAGAAATCAAACATGCGTAAAAAAATGCTATAGTATTAATCTTATGTTAATAAAAAATAAATCGATATAACAATTTTAAATATACTAATATCTTAGTAAATTTGGTCAGGTATATTTTCCTATACATTTTGATAGGCTAAAAATCGCAATAATATTTTATAGATAGGTTTTCGAGACATGATTTTTAATTTTTTTTCGAAGACAGCTTTATAATTTACCTATATATCGAGTTGGAAAAGGTCACTACCCTAGACTATCTGACAAATTGTACATTTTGTGGTATAAAGGTTTGAAATCCAAATATCCCAAGCAGCATTTTAAGTTTAAGTAACTACAAATTTACTACTAAGTCAACTTTAAAGTATTTTTTACGGTTAACCAAAACGGTTTTATAACGGTAGAGATACGAAAAATTACCAAATTTGGGGAATGCTTTATTTCGTTATTTTACCCACATAATTTTACCCACATAATAACCTTTTTGATCTACTAAGAGAATTACGTAATAAAAACAATATAAATACCACAAATTTACGTAAAAATAACGCTATAATTACTAACTGTTTGCTCTCTCTTTCTTAAACATTGATATTCGTAATTTCTTTGTTCTTTTAATTTATATTCTACAAAATGGTAGGTACTTATAAGTAATTACAAAGTAATAAAGGCCACCCTAGAGTAAAATTAAAAAATATAACTTAAATTGTCAAAACCATTGATATTTTGCATTAAAACTCAAACGCACATTATTTTATTGATAAAAAAAGGTATGATACGTCTTAAAAATTATATGCCCTCTAAATATTTTACGGTTTTACAAAATTTTATAAAATCTTTTAAAAATCATTTAGTTTTAATCATTTTTTATTAACTAAAACTTTTCTTATTATATTTTAGAAAGATATTCATGAAAAATTTTTATATAAATGAGGCGGTTCTCGGAAAAACATCATTAGTCCAATATCGTCGAAATTTAGATATTAGCACCAACTGTTTCCTAACATTCATATATACGTATACAAATAAGTGTTTCTCGTAAAAATGTCATAGGTTCCATAATAATTAAATATGAAATTTAGCTTGTTCTTCTAAAAACATCCACGTCCACTCCGTTTTTGGACACTCTATAAAAGCTTCTACCTCTTCTACATGACCACAGCAATAGAAAATTTTATGATAACTTGATAAAAGACCAGAAGACCATAGCACCTGACTGTCCTGATAACACGGTCGACAACGATGATAACAGCAGTGGATGCGAATACTGAGTGTGGCCATAATACAGTTTTTAGTTTTTTCATTTATTTTGTTGCTCATAGTTTATATTTAGTTTGTAGTGTTTGTAGTAAGGAGAATTGTTCGTTTTTTCCTTCTAAAAACCTCACATGTTCATGTATTTTTTGTGTTTTTTTCATATTCGTTTGAAAAAAAAACATGAGGAATTCTGGACAAAGTATCTTACATTTTTTTACATGTAGTAAATGGGTCAATAAAGTACTTTGGTCAAAAATGGGAATGTCGAAGAGTTTTTTTCATTTTCCCAAATATGTTAATTTTGGACTAATGATGTTTTTCCGAGAAACGCGTCAAATGTTTAGACAAGACCAAATTAATGTTTTTAAATAAGTAATGGATGCCATCTTAAAAAACTCATTATGACGGCCTAAAAAAAAATTCCCGCAAAGTTTTATTTTTCACTTTAAGCTAATTCTTCCTTGTTTAGTCAATATTATTAGTATTTATTACCCATAGGTAATAAATACTAATAATATTGACTAATAACCCTAAAAAATACCAGGCGAATAGGAATTATTTACGGTTATAAAGTGGTCTTAATATCGTAAAATTATGACTTATGAGTAACATTTACTATTAAGTAAAAATTCTAACGTTAAAATTACCGTTAAATTTTCCTTTAGGTAAAATACACAAGTAATTTTCTTTCGTAAAAACTACGTCCCTCATAATACTTTAAAGTGTTGAAACTTAAGGGTTATTAAAATAGGTAAATAAAACTTATATTATAACTTTAAAAAAAGTTTTACTTCAAAGTAAATTTTGAAGGTTAATTTAACAAAATATTTACTTATAAATTAAGTAATATTGCCTCAAAGCTCTACGCTTTTACTTAAAATGCTGCTTGGAATTGAAAGACATATTTGCAGACTTTAATTTAAGCTTTTAAACAAAATTACAAGAATAGTTTACGTTATTTTGAATTTTGGATTTTAAACCTTTTGACCACAAAATGTACAATTTGATGGATGAAAATCTTTTATTGTAGGGTAGCAAGATGTCAAATTAAAAATTTTTCATTGGTCAACAAATATCACTCTTTGTATGTGAAATCAGTTGATAAGCTTAAGTGCAATGAACCCAGATAGGCAAAAATAAAATGAAACATTTATGTTTTCATCACGTGTAAATTTAAATCTGATTTCTATTCATTCTTGGTAAAAACGTAAATGTTGTACTTTTATTTTTTAATTTCACCATTTTGAATTGATCTACTCTACATAGTTTACACTTTTACCTTAAAATTTTTACGAAGAAAACAAGGTATTTTTTAATGAAATGTATGCCTTTTTTTCCTTAAATTGGAAGTTTCTGATTTTTTAGAAATTATTTTTATGATTATTTCAAAACCACTTGATTCCTTTTGTGCCACCCTCTAGATATATGTACTATTCTACTATCACTATAACAAAAACTTAAATTTTATTTTTATACGTTTTAATTTATTTTTAGATACAATACACTGGTTCCAGTGTAAATCCAGCCAGAAGTTTTGGTCCAGCCGTTATTATGAATCTCTGGGAAAATCATTGGGTAATTGTTTAATAAATTTATTATTAATTTAGTAAAATAATTTATTGTTTTTTATTAATATATTTAGTTTAACATATTATTTATTAATTAAGTTTATGTGGAATTAAATGTCAACATATTTTTTGTGTGAACATGTAAAACTTCCTGAGAACATAATTTTTGCGTGTTCCCTTGAACTTTTCGTTTCAATATTATGGACTCATAAAATAAAAAAAATTAAATAAGGAGATAAATTTTACTTCTATTAAAGTTTGTAATTTTATCATTTTAAAATATGATTTTATATTAAAACTATTAAATAAAAAATACATGTTAGAAAATAGAATTGCTAAAATAATTTACTACTTTTCCTGCAATAATGCTTGTAAGAAGGAAGTTTTATTTTTAAGAAGCGATAAAATATAAACGTATTTATATTATTTTATATAAATATTATGTAAAATAAAAAAATACGATATATTTTTTTTATTATATTTATATTGCATGTGCAAAAATAGTATATTATGTATAAAGTTTTATAAACTTCATTTTAATTACGAGCGGGTGTTTAATAAAAACGAGTGTCTATAGAAGTTTATAAAACGAGTTGCATACCTATTATACTTTATCTACGACGAACAAAAATAAGAATTTAAAGCCAATTTTAATTAATAAATATTTGACATTTGACGAATTTAACCTCACTTTTTGCCTAAAGTTAACTTGAGCCCATGACGAAAATGCCCAAAAGCCACTGTTGTTAACTCAAAAATAACTAATTTAATAGTTTTTAGTGGCTGCTTTTTACTTGTACCATAGTTAACCATGGAATACCATGGTATCCCAAAATTGAACAGTCAATTCTTATGTAAAATTGTCTCCTGAATCCGAAAATGACGTCAAAAGTTAAAAAAGTAGAACAGTTTTGGAGAAATAGTCAATTTTCCATTTAATATAGAATTTTACATAAGAATTGGTTGTTAAATTTTGGGATACCATAGTATTCCAAGTGAAAAAGCAGCCACTAATAACTATTAAATTAGTTATTTTTGACTAATTTATGTTTAGAGAATGGATAATAGTATATTATGTATCAAGTTTTATAAACGCCATTTTATTAACGAGTTTTATTAGGCACTAGCGAAGCTTGCGAGCGAGTGTTTAATAAAAACGAGTATCTAGAGAAGTTTATAAAACGAGTTGCATACTATACTTTATCTACGACGAACTGAAATAAGAATTTAAAGCCAATTTTAGTTGTTAAGTATTTGACATATGTCAACTGTCCATGGATTTAACCATACTTTTTCTCAATTTATAAGCCAACTTCAGCCCGTGACTAAATGCCCAAAAGCTACTTTTGCTAACTTCAGCCCGTGACTAAAACGCCATAAAGTCACAGCTTATTAATGTGAAAGTAGATAAAAGAATTTAAGCACAAAAAAATACATTTTGAAGAGTAGGCTGTATAATGGTGTACTTTATTAGCTTTAGCTTATTATTAGCTTATTAATGGGAAAGTAGATAATACATTTTGAAGAGTAGGCTATATAATTTTGTACTTTATTAGTTTTACATAATGTATTAAAATATGCAGAGAAAATAAAAATAATTTCATAATGATGTTTATCTTTAAGCGTTTTATAATTTAACTTTATTATTGTCTACATTCCCTACTAAACTGATTGATTATGGTCTAGGCTTTTTACCTTCTAGTCTGTAAAAACACGTTTGGACCAATCAAAAAATTTTACTAGTCATAATTTTATTTATACATACAACGGACAATTATAGGTTAGAGGTTAGATAGGTCAGACAGATATCGAATTTTATGATTGATCCAGACAAAAATCAACTAAATACTACCCTCATTAAAGTTTGAATGTGCCTAGGCCATAATTGATCACTTAAAGGTCGAATGATGACTACAATAAAGTTTAATTTATAGACTGCTTGAAGATAAAAACCATTTTCAAGTAGGTACTTACTAATTTATTATTATTATTATTTAAGGTATATTGGGCAGGACCAATTGCGGGTGGAGCATTCGCAGGATTGGTCTACAAATTCCTTTTCAAAGTCCAAAAAGGCGACAGCGACTCTTACGATTTTTAAACATTGTACTTTCTAAACTTTCTGCATTTTATTTGTCACATAAAATGTTTAGAGTTAATATAATTCATAATTCATCAACAGAAAATCACCCAAACTTCATTAGTATCGTAGGCAAATAACAATTTCGTACAAATTTTTACATATTGTAAAAACTTTTAGGACTGGCCTTTTATCATTAAATTGTATTTATATTATTAGTGTAAGTTTTATTGTAAGTTTATTTTTAGCCATAGATGCTGTTGCAAAATCCATCTTAATGTATTATTTACATTAAATAAACACTGTATAAAATGTATACTTATCTACCCTAATTTCAAATAACCCTATATATGTTTTACTTTAATGTAAATTAAAAAATAATGATTATAAAAGTAGTAGTAACAGCCAAAATATTTGTCAGGGTACCTCTTCGTCACCCTAATATAACAAGGTTGTATGTTAAAAAAACGAAAAATTTAAGTCTATGTTTCTACAGGAATTTACGTGGCCTACGCTTCACATACCACTTAAAAATAATTCTATAGAATGTATTCTATGTATACATATATATAGAGTTATTTTCAAGTTGTATGTCAAGGGTGGATTACATAAAACCTTGTAGAAGCATGTTATATTAGGGTGACGTCTTGTAATTATATAAAAACCAGCTGCCGAAACTCTTGGTTTATACTTTTCCCAACGTTCAATTACCGTTGATACATTTTTATTTAGATCGATATTTTGCTAGTAATATTTCATTATTTTTTTTTTAAATAGTTTACCAAGCTATGTCACTCGAAGATCGTATTAAATCACAGAGTATATCATATAATATATTATGATAAGTCGACTTAAAAAAAATTAAAAAACTTTACTCATGTTTGTTTAGTTTAATTAAAGAATTTTTACATAAATAACTCTTAAATTTTGAGTGACTGAGTCGTCAATACACTTGAAAACTTAATAATAACTTTGTAAGAATTTCATTTATATTTTAAAAATCTTCTTGGGCCTAATTTTTTAAAAACAATAATGTTACTCAGTGGCGGCTGGTGGATTTTGGGCACACCCATATGATATGGGCCATATATCAGTTATTAGACATGGGACCCACATCAAATTTATATGAGTTTACAATGACATTATATAGACAAGTTCTACGCAAGCAGAATTTAAAAGGTTTTAAGTGTGCCCCCCACAGCCTCCTGTTCCTGCTCCTTTATTTTTAATGTAATTTTTTTTTTATTTTATTGGCCAGAACTGATATACTATTTTTAGTATCTTTTACTTTTCAATGCCAATATTATTTATTTTTGCAATGGCAGGAAAAACTCACTTCCGCAATAAAAAAATGTTTTTCGGAAAGTTTCGGGAATTTTCGATGGAAAGTTTCCAGAAATTTTCGTCAAATATGAAATTTAACATCTCTAGTAAAAAGTAAAATTGAAACACGTGTAGCATATTATTATTTATTCACAATTTTCATTAAAAAATGGGCTTTAAAGCGATGTTAATATTAACACTAATGCAAAGTCTAACTGATGAATAAATACATAAACGTTTAATAACATAATTTCGAAAAAGATGTATAAATTTATATATACATTAATCAAAATTTCAAAGGTGAGGCTTATGATTTCTTATTATCTAAAGATAAATTATGCTTCTAAGTATGTATATAACAAGATAATACTTTATTTAATTTATTAACAGGGATACTTAAAGCAGCACCTTTGAAATAACGTTATATTAGGGATGTGGGGCATCAAAAGACAATTTAAACTGCCGTCGCACGTTTTTATTTTAAGTTTTACAAAAATTGTCAAAACTAATTCGAAAGAAGTGAGTAGATTTGTACCTTATTTAGAATTGGAAATTTAACTATTAGCACCCAATCATTTTGGAAAAGATTTTTTTAATTTTTAGAAAAACTTGAAACAAAACATGCATGGACAAGGATAATGGTATTTTTTTTATAAAATTTGGACTCTTATTCTATATAAACATTATCTTTCGATGTCCATTTAGCCGTCGCTTACCATTTACACGAATTCTCGAAAGTGTCTTTATACATTCACGCTCACAATTTTTCTAAGCTATACTACTGAATCATAATTTTACAAGACCCGCATTATGTAGAATTGGCAGAAATATCAATTAATGTTCCTTATTTTGTACTAGAAATAAAGGCAAGATCAAAAAGATAAGATTGTATATGAAGGTTCACAATTGGTTTATACCTAGGTATTGCTGTTTTAGGTTTTTAAAATTATTGCGCTCTAACCATCATCACAAAGTGTGTAGGTTAATCAAAAGTTTTAATGAGTTTTAAATCTTGCCCTACTTTCTTACATGGAAACCATGTATATTTCAGTAAATGGTTCCCATACGCACATTTTGTCATAAATGACAATACTTATTGTTATGTGATAACCACGTATATAATCAGGATTATATGATTATGGAATTATAACAAAAATTTAATTGCTAAATCCTTTTCGAAATGGAATGATTAAAACTTTTTTTATTAATAATACAGGGTCTCCCGATATTTCGGGACACCCTGCAGGGTGTATAGTTATATTTCAATTATAATACCTGATATTTTTAAATGTAGAAGTCAAATTTAAAGAAAAGGATTTAGAATTATAAAAATTTAATACATAATTTTTAATATATTAGGTATGGATATTATTCTAAATTAGCTTATATAAAAATTAAATTACTTATAAACAAAGAAAATTTAACCTTCTTGTTTCATTAAAATTAATTTTGGGAAGAAATGTTTTTTCCTATGAAGGAAGTTAAACTTTATTTGTACAAGTTTGTATGACGGCAAAACCTACTGTAATATTAAAATCTTAATCATATAAACATAAACATATACATAAATCTTAATCATATAAACATATACATAAACATGTTTATGTATAACAACAAACGAATAATGGACCTGCCACGATATCAACAACAATAAAGAAGTTTATAAAATTTATGATTAAGATTTAAACAAGAAGTCTCACTGTGACATTGAATAAGGAATGCAGTTAAATAATTGAGGTTATGGATCTGCCGGTTTAACGCTAATTTCGTTTTATTTTCTGAAAATAATTGAATATACCTTACCTTAACGTTTTTTTTTGAAGATTAGAAGTTTTTTAATTTTCGGAAAAATGCCGATTGTCATTTTTAATTATTTTCTTCTTTTTTTCCATTAAAACCATATTTTTTAGTCAGCTTATTTCTTATAATACCACTCTGAGGATTTTTGAGGATGTAGAAAAAAACTCAAAGTTTAAAAAAAATAATAAGAAATAAAATTGGAAGTGGTAACTATCAAAAAAATTTAATTTTTATTTCGAAAAAGAAAGAAAAAGGAAAAGACTGTTCTGAATAATTTTTAAAGGCAAAGAAAAACTGTTTTTCGGTTTATTATTGGACAAACAACAGGCTTTTAAAAATTGTAAGTGTCTTTTTGTTTACTTACTAAAAAATCATGATTTATTAAATAATTTTATTTATTGTATTTAGGTATAGCCATTGTATATAAAATTATTTTGTTTTGTTTTTAAATGTTGTTTTGAAAAAAATATTTATAACTATTTAAAAACATTCAATTTTTTTTCAATAATTACCACTTTTAATTAAATTTGAACTTGAGGTGTTCGTGAGCGGTTCTCTCTACATCCTCAAAAATGCCCACAGTGGTATTATGAGAAATAAGCTAAAGTTAATTTATTTTGCTACTTTTCTTAGACGTTATTAGATTTATTATTTCTGCATTTGTATAACGACAACACGATATGTAATGGCGGGTTTTTTCCGGCAGAAACTTGTTTCCATGAAAGACTGATTCTAATAAAAAGAAAGCCAAGCCAGAATCAAAATACTAATATTTGAATTACATATGCCTCATATAAAACATGAATTTTATTTATAATATAACATTATATCTATTTTTTTTCTAACTATGCTTAAAATAATAGTACATTATCCAACAGCGATTATATTATAAATCAGCCAAGGCTGCAGATCTAAGCGAGGCAGTTGAAGTGTGTGATGGGCACGAGGGGGTAGTACCGTACACTCGAGTAAAAAGTAGTAACCCAGATAGATTTGAATAATCTCGCGAATTAAACCTAACCTCAACAAGTTTGCAATGTTGTCAAGTGTGGCCAAAATGGTGTTTTGTTATTTGAATTCGCTTCTAAATAGGAAGGATGCCAGTGAGAGGAAAAAAAATAGAAGTAGAAAAACCACCAATCTGAAAATATTAGATAATTTTCAGAAAATGTCAAAGTTTCTTATAAAAAAACAAAAAAAAAACCAAAATGAAAATCAAGAATTTTTTTTCCCGAGATAAAAACAAAAATTTTGAAAAGAAAACCTCAATAAGTAAATTTTTGAAAAAGTTATAGATTTTTGATAGGACGGAAAAAAAGTTTCAGCTAAGTCGAAAGGGGTCGACTTGGTGCCCCATATATTATATTATTTAAGAAAATAACGCGAAATTAGTGTAAAACTGACACATAACCTCAATTATTTGACTGCATTCCTTATTTAAATGTCACAATGGAACTTTATGTGGAGCATATTACAATAGGCATTCATTTTAATTTTAGAAGTAGAAAAAATAAACAAAATCTCAGGTCAGCACACAGTTTCAAAAATTAATATGTCTGCGTAGACTTTGGTTTAAAGTTATAAGGCATCCTTTTTTAATAAACTAGATGATAAGGTAACCTCATCATGTTTTTAGTCTAGAGTAGTTTACATTAGTTAAGACGGTATGTTAAAAATTTGATCAGAAAAAAACTAAACACGTGAAAACTGTCCCCATGACGACATGACAGTGCTTGTATCACAGAAATAATGTTACAACTAATAATGAGGACTGCCTAATATGTAAGGAACAAAATTTGTTTTATTATTTAATGAGATAAATTGAAAAACAATAAAGATTGGTTTAGCAGTCCTAGGGCGTAAAAACCAAATGAATTACAATTATAATAAGTACGTATAATAATAAACAAGGGTAAAAACTCTTATTGATGTAACAAGTATGTATCGTAAATTTAGTGATTTAAAGCACTTTAGGGAAGAATTATAATTATTTATCAGAATATTATGGTTTGGTATAAATAACATTTATGTAAAATTTAAATCTACCAATTATCATTAATTTAATTATGTACAGTGTATACGAATTATAAACTCGCACATTACGTTAGAGAATGAAGGGTTGGTGGTAAATGTATTTATTGGCAGTAGTACAAAATTTAATAAAAAGTCCTTATGTGAGTCTTTTTTGATACTTTTAACTTTTAACATTGTCAAATAATAAAAGTATTTAAATGAATAAATCGTAATCAGGTTTTTACATTTCTGCCAGACTGGAAACGTAAAAAAATTATGAAAAATTATCACAATTATCAATAACCTGGTTAGGATTGAAATCAAAAAAATACAATTAAAACTTGTTATTTTATATGAACGCATTTTAAACAGTATTTATAATACATAAATGTTTCTTAGTTAACACCGACAACACACATTATTAGTTATTCAATTCCTGAAAGGCCAGTTAACATTTTTTAACGAATAACAGTCGTATTGCACTTTTTGAGTACGTACAAAATTTTAGCTGCAATTTATACTCTATAAATTTTGACTAAATTATTAAGTGGATCATTTAAATAAAAACAGGACTGTCTTCTAAGCAGGATGATATGTATAGTTCGAAAAGGTTTATGGGAGGTAGGGCAATGTTTCTAAAACTCTTTTTAGATGAAGTAATAGTTCATCCGATATTTGCCCATATTTAAATTAAGTAACAGAGTCGAGAAGCTTTAAAAAAAGGATATTACCTATCAATTGTTATAATAAAGACAAAGAGTTTGAATTACATTAGAAGTATAGATGAAGCATGAGTTTTCATTTCAGCATTTACCATTTTACTCCAGAAAGAGTACGATAATGATCTTAATTTTGACGGGACGTATTGCTTATAAATTGAGTTTTTGTTGAAAAAATAAAGTTGAAAACATTGAATCTCTTTCCAAACCTTTTCCCAACTACCATATAACTTTTAAATCTGTTGAATGACGGAAAGGTTCTGGACTTCCATTGCCTTAGTATTTTAATCACGACGTTTAGACTTGTAAGTATCTCCAGTCTTTTTCAGGGGAATGAAGACCACTGAAGATACTAACCATTCGAAACGTTGTGAGCAAACACCATTGTCTACAACAATCAAACAAAAATTTTAAATCCGTATCGAATATCCACCAACTTTGAAAAATAAATTCCTTTTTAAATTTGAACAACCATCGTAAATTTTAGGGTGGAAATGTTTAGTCAAAATTTAACATTACATAATTTTGATACTACTCAAAAGTCTTATGGAACAAAGTAGGGCTGCGAATATACTTAAAAATTATGAGATTATAATGGATACAATTCAATAATTCAATTATATTATATTTACTTTATACAATAAGCATGGGTTAGCAAAAATTTGTTTTAATTAGTGCCTCACCACATACAACAAGTTTACTCGACATAATATAAAGGAAGGATTTGTGTCTTACCTACTTATTTACAAAAACCTATTTATTACACCGATACGTAGTAATCTCATAATTTAGTTTAGTACCAACCTAAACCAGGTTAGTATGTGCGCAGTCCTAGTTCTCCGTGTGCTAGCACCAGTCGTCGTCGTCCGAATCGGAGTGCCTCGACCTGGTGGGTTTCGGTTTGTAGCCGTTGGGGACAGGCGAGGGGAGCATCCTGCCGCCCCTGCCCATCGCCATGGCCTGCTCGAAACTTAGCGGCGTCTGGTTGTTGTCGCGGCCTACTGCCGTCGGATTCGCCACGCTGGCTGCCGACGCCGGCGTCATCTCTCGGAACGGTTCCGAACGATCGCGAGGAAAACTGTGCGGCATCGTGTGTGGCGTCGTATGCGCCGACTGAGTCACCAACTGCTGCTATTGTACCAAATAAAAAGAACATTAGGCAACACTGTACAATCGATAGTCAGACAGATATGACTATGGCCGTGAAAAGTATTCAATGTAACCATTAAAATATTCAGCAAAATATGCATGATAAAAACCACATATGTTGAAATACACTTAAAAAAGTCAAGTGCTTGAAAAACATTATTATTATTCCTATATTCCTATTAAATTATATAACATTCATTTCAAAACTTGCTTTCCACTCTCAATTTTTTCATAACTTCCCTTTACCCCAGACCGCAAAATCACATTCCCTGCACATGTCAGGAATATTCCCAGGAATATTCCTGGCATAATCAAATGTCCGCTTTTTGGTTAACCCAGGCATCATAAAAAGAATATTCCATATATCTGCCTGCAGTAGACTCAAGGATTGTTAGGGGAATATTCCTTGATATAATTTGGGGATTATTCCCAGCCCTTATTGCCTCTTATACCCAGGAACTTAACTTAAGTATAGCCATTATTGAGTTACTGAGTAGATCAGTCCCACTCTAATCATTGTTTGGCTGTGCCATCACAGACTCACATCTCCAACTGATATTATTAACCTATCTGTATATATAGTTATCAAGCGTGCGTAAGCAACGGTGAGAGGTATTGCAACTTAGCTAATGAATATTCACTGGGAATGTTCTTAAATGATGCTTGGAAGTTTTAGAGGATCATTCTAGGAATATTCCCAATGAATATTCCTAGAATGAATCGGATTATTCCTAGGCGATAGGGAATATTCCTGAAATATTTTCGAACCTTCATTGCAGTCTGGGACCAGGACTGCCGTACTTTGGCAAAACCTAGTAACTATTCTTTTGTAACTTTTCAGGATAGTGTATTTTCTAAAATTGCATAGGTAGCCTTTCTTTGCAACAAAATATTTAAAATATCTAATGATCAATTCCTACATAATTTTTAACGAGGAATTTGAAAAAATAAAAAAATTATCAAAAAAATAAGTAATTTGTTTACAAATATTTTGTTAATTTATTTATATAAGTAATTATGCAAAAGCTGGCCATATCAATTGCTAGTTACTGTATTTTTTAAATTTTTAATATGATTGAGTAAAATATATTAAATCGACTATAAGTTAAAATAAATAATTATTTAGGTTTTTTACCATTTTATTTAGTGAAAATACATGTATTGCAATTAAAAAAATCCATATTATATTAAGTAAAATTGAACATATAGTAAGTAAATCCAGAACATTTTTTTCTTTAATCTTTAAATAAGGGACAAAGAGTCTTTAACATTGTTCCTTTCTATTTAGTTTTTATCCCCAATGGTTCCAATTTGGAACTTCCAAATATGGTGCCACTTAGCTTAACTTCAAATTTGTTCTTCTGGACATATTTTGAACTTTCTTAATAATAAAACACCGTTATCACAAGTTACACACACAATTTCAAACGTAAAACTAGTCTGGTAAAGTCCGATGTATTAAGGTAGTTGTCGTGCTCTAGGCATACCTTCAGAAAATATTAGATTTTTGTTTACTTATTAAGGACATGACAATACAATTATACTTAAAATTTGAGGTCGATTGACTGTCTATAACCCGAGATAAATTCAATTAAAAATTGGATAATTAACATGGATTGTATACGCTTTCTGTAGTTCTGAACCAGTTTCTTAGTTATAAAAAAACTGTCAGAAGCTTTAAAAAAAAATTAAAATTTGTAAAAAAGTATACATACGAGTCAGATAAACACAACTTGGCAACGCTGTAAGCAAGTATAGATATTATTTGCGCAGTAAATTCAAACAGACTGATTCAGTCTCCAATATATCTATTGATTGTGCATAAGCGACGTTACCGAATTAAAACTTATGAAAATATGATAAAGTATTACGTATAGGAAACGTCTCCAAGGGTACAGTCTTGCGAAAAAATTATGAATCACTTAGCTACAAGCTCGTATACTTTTACGGTGCCTATAATCTAAAAATTGTTGACAATATTGTACCACGACAACTACCTTAAAAACAGATTTTTATTTATTTATTTATACGTAAATCATAATTCAGCAAATAGAACTATAAAAAGTAGTATAAAAAGTTGTATGTTGATTAAAATATGCACAAATTAACTTATTAAAACATCAACATTCAAGTTGCCAGATTTTAATCAATGCTGAAGTATATACATAAAGCTTAATATTAATTATTAAATAACCTTAAAACATTGTTGATAGTAACTTTATTTGCCATATTTTGCTTTAGGATACCTAACAAGTTTCTAAAAATAGAGATAATCATTTTACAGCCACCGTAATATAAAAAGAGATAAAAAATAGTTACTAGAAGTAAATTTGAATGCTAAATGCAGTAATTTTTTAAAACCTAGTAACTTTAGTTACTATGTTCTACCAAAGTACGGCAGCAGGATTTACCTCCTAAAAAATCATTGAAACCCTTATCAAGTAATACCTCATTTTGAAGGTCTTTCCTACATTGACGTTTGTCTGCTGTAGGGATGGGCAAAAGTAACCGGTTATTGCAATAACTAGTTATCCTTCTTGAAGTTAACCGGTTATTTCAGGTTATTTTGAAACTACAGTTAAACCGCGGTTAATAGTTTACTAGATGAAATAACCTGCGAAAAAGGTTAATGTGTGGGTCACTGCAACCTTGATATTGCATAATCAATAAATAAAGAATTGAGAAGATAAAGGAGGTTTATTTTGGCAATGTTGGCAATGCCCTATAGTTGTCTGCACTGATCTATCAGCGGCGCCCTGCTTATATTTAAATGTAGCGCAAGAAGACTAGAGACATGAGTACAAACTTCCTATGTTTGACGCTTAGAAGAAGAAACTTCCAAGGTTTGACGCGTATTTTTTTGTCGGCACAAAACAAATTAAACTGCAGTGCGCACTTCATTGCGCACAAACCCAATCTGATTAGGACCAATCAAAATCAAGTATGATGTATGACGTTTTCCATGTGTGTTAAATTAAATCGTACATCGTAGGTACTGAGAAACTTCATCATTGCAGACGCTTTTTACCTCACATCCTCGATATCGGTTTGTACTCTAGTCTTCCTGCTTGTGCGCCAATCTGGAAGTCTGGGGTCAAAACTTGAAATTTATTTTCTTAAAGCAGGCGGTTATTTAGCGCCGGTTAACCTTATAACCGGTTACTTGAAGGTAGGTTAACTTGACAGGTTATTTTAATTTTTGAAATAACCGTGTTTTTTCATAACTGCTGTCTTCGTGAAGGTTAATATTGTCAGTAAACTTTCGCAAGTGTTAGAGAAGGAACCAAGCGCCAAAAACTTTTTCTGGGGTAATCAAAATTATTTGAAAAAATAACTCATTTTTAATTTAGATCAAAAAATTAATATTGATTTGGAAATCCTCTCAATCCTTTTGAGAAAAGTTACAAATGATGATCAACCTTTTAAGCATTATTAAAAATGAGTTATTTTACAAATAATTTTACTAAGCCCAAAAAAAGTCTTTGGCGCATGGTTCCTTTTCGTTAAGCGTTATCCATATGGACGTTTTTCCTCATCAATAAGAAATTTCTCTTAGCGACGCGTTGCGCATGACTACCCTTGTTATTGTTTTTCTTATCCGTTTATTCGTATGCGATTTTAAAAAATCAGTGGTTTTCCTTTTGAGGCTCAAAAAAGAATCTGGATTTTTTTTATAAACCTAACCGTTCAAAGATATCTGAGGTCAAATTTTAAAAAGTTTTAATGTTTTTTTTAAATATAATATCTCACAGAATAGGATTTTAAAATGAGAAGTATACATTTTTGTTAAAAATTAATTGATTCACAAAAAAAATCTTTAAAAACTCGATTAAATGTAAAATTATAAGAGTAAAGTTTATTATAAGAGTAAAGTTTATTATATTAACAATTTCATTGATATGTTACATATTTAGGCCATATCTAGCTGAAGCAGCTGCGACAACCTCATCTATGGGTTGATCGTTATATTTAAAGTTAAAAAAATGTTCAGATAAATTTGAACGATTAAATAAATTAGGTACTTAAAAGTTCGTCAAAATCAGACATGAAAATTTATTATTATACTTTTAATTTTTACCATTATTTTTTGAGTTTTTACTTAATATAATATTTCTTATATATCATATTAAATACAGGACACTTGAACTTGTTGTCTGGCTGGGATAATTCTAAATTGTGTCTTAGTACTTTGAGTCCTTTTCTGAGATATGTTTTCGAGCCTTTAAAAACTAGTCTATAAGTAGGCCACAGAAAATATTAACCTTAATGCTAAACACTCACAAAAACTTATAGTTTCTAGATAATCCTCAGGAAGTTCTTAGGTAGTCGTAATTACGAATTAAGTTTCCAAATACACCAAGTTCGATTGTGGGTGAAGGATTTAATTGAAATTTACTGCTCGAAATCGGTACGATACATTGCTTTTACACAATAAACTGTGTACACAATCATATCGAATTGTCGCGACAAGCCCAATTAAAATATTAAAATTGTTAGATTGGCTTTTAGAAACAATATTTATTGGGGATTTTTCAAAAACCTGACGTAATAAAGCAATTCTAAAGGTTGAATTCGTCAAAAACCTTAAAAAAAGTCTAACTTCTGTTTAAAATTTGTAGAGACCTATGATAATTTTTGAAATTGATAGAGGGTTAAGGCATTTATCAGAAATTATTACTGTAAATTATTAGATTCAAATTCAGCCCTTACACCTTTTAGAAGGGTATAGAAAGTAGTTTAAAATTATATTGATATTTAATATAATGTCTATCAGGTAGTAGCAGTTTTTAACCCACGTCGCACAGTGTTTCAATTCTCGAAATTTTCGGCAAAATATCAAGAATTCTAAAATTCAAAATGGTAGATCCAAAATGGCGGACACATTTGTCAAAAAATTGACGGAATAAATTGAAAATCACCAGACAGGGTTTTTGGGGTCGCTGATAACGAATCTGGAATTAGAATTCCAAAATTCAAAATGGTAGATCCAAAATGGCAGACATATTTGTAAAAAAATTGACGGAATTAATTGAAAATCACCATACAGGGGTTTTTGTGGTCGCTGATAATGAATCTGAAATCAGAATTCCAAAATTCAAAATGGTGGATCTCAAATGGCGGACATTTTTATCAAATATTGTCGAAATTAATTAAAAACCCGTAAGAGGTTCTTTTTAAAATGTAATAAAACATCTTTTTATAAAATAGCTTAACTTAGTTTATTATAATTACATTTATATGATATTATTTAATACCTACATGTATATTAAACAATCTCCGTCACTGGATTCGCTCGTTGTATCATTAGCAGAGCATGGGAAACCATCAGAAAATAGCAACAGTTTTATTGCTTCGCGGGACAAAGATTTGCTCTTTTTCGAAGCAAATTTTCTGAAGCTAGAAAAATACGGATCGGAAGATGCCATAAGCCAATGGAAAACATCTTCCATCGTTTTCTCCCGAGAAACTCTTATTTATAAAATTTAAATATAACAGATTTTATACTAATTATTTTAAATTTGTATTATTTCTTTTACTTAATATTTTAGCAACGATTTCTTAATTCGCTAAAATTGTCAACACAAATAACCACAATTCAAATTTGACATTAACACACTACAATGCGCATGCGGAGTCAGAAACGATTTACGCAAGTGAAAGTCTAGACACCGCTGTTGTAATAAACGTTTTGAGTTAAATCCGAGTGAATCGAGAAAACGTCATGAACGCAACCCAGGAATAAAAAAAAAATCTTATATTTTGTAAAGCAAAAACACTCGACATAGGTTTTTTACCACAACCGTGCCTGGGCGCCCAAGAACATGTAGTTTTAAAGAGCCGGGGGCAAGTTGGGGCAGCTAATTTATTGATGGCTTGATAGATAAAACTCTAAGCTATTCAACGGATCTTGAACTGATGCCTTACAATTCATTACAATTTTTGTAGCTCCATTGTTCTAAAAGCTCGATTCAAAGTTTGCGATTTTACCAGACCGATCTTGTCGGTTACAATAACCCGTTGTACAAGCAAAATCTACGAAAATCAAATACATATCTGAATTTTAGATACCTTGAAGATCACCCTTCATCAAACCGCATAACAACCGGACAGACCAAACACAAGTTATTCACTTTTAAACAATAAACAATTTTCCGCAGCGATCGCGTGTAAAGTACCTTCAACTGAAAGCGTCACGTTTAAACTGATGTACAAGACAAAATATACGTATTTTATATAATTTTTTTTCAATACAGGACCCATATAACTTAAAATTTACCTGAAAAAAAATGTAAATTTTTGAGGTTTTGCCGATATTTTTGAGAATTGAAACACTGTGCGTCGTACAGTTTCCGCATTATTCCTTACTCAAAATAAATTGTCCTCTTATTTACTTACATGTGTTGGGGAAGCGTTCAGTTTTGGAAAGTTTATGATGGCAGGTCGCAGCTGGAGAGTGGAAGGTTTAGAAGGCGTTGGCGGCAGCCGCCTGCCTTGTCCCCTTCTGCCGCCCAGCATGGGATGGCTGTGTTGCATGCTGCTCTGGTGCACGGCACTTTGCTGCATCGGGATGCCGACCACCGCACCCGCTGCAAACGAATCTTCGTCGATTAGATGACGCATTTTCGTGCCTCTATACGCCCCGTCTGTTAATAGTTAAAGAGTTGAGAAAATGCAGATGGGAACCATAAAGTGGTTCTATTAGTGCATTTAAAAGCATAGCAAGGCATGGAAGTAAACATGATGCCTTTGGATAGTGCAGGATATAATATATAGGCCATTCTAAAAAGGGGGGGTTATAAATAAAAAAAGTTGTCCTTTATGGTTCCAGATCTCTCAACTTTTATCTAATATCACAGGGATTTTATTAGATTATTTGCATTCGCAATAAATTAAAACTCATAAAGGTAAAAAAGGTGTAAAGCAGGTTTAAAGATAAAACTGGGTAAATATAACTTACCTATTATGGGTGGTCCTTGTTGGTGCGGGACATGGTGTCCCACGGGGCTTGGACTTCTCGACCTTTGGCAAAGGCTGGTGGTACCGTAGTTGCGTCGTGACGACCTTATCGGCCCGTACCGTGAGTTATGACGCCCGCCCGTGGGCGATGGCGACCGGGCCGGACTCGTTGAAGCCGACCACGAGCCTAACACAGAAAATTCTTAAAGACAACTTTAGCAGTGGCTTTACCTTATCCAAACTATTTACAATGTGTTACCAACTCTAGGATCATTCCACACTATAGAACCAATCACTTTTAGTCTGATCGAACCTGATTTGTATTTAAGATAATTAGAATTTGCTTTAAAGAACTATATAGTATGTAGATTTTAGAGCATTTATAATTCTACTTTTATAATAAAATGATTATGAATGTTCTTGAATCCAATTAACAATATTGTACAAATTGTCTTCATTTAATAATCATATGGTGAGATTTTACGAAATCAAGACTTAAATTTAAAAAGGTTGTAATTGACCATAAGACTTCTTTAATAAGAAAGCTTTACTACCAGTTAATATTAATTGGACGGCTTTCTGCAGAATGGGACCAACCCACACCATGATAAAACTGAGAAAAAAGCTATCAAAGATTTTAATAATTTTAAAATTACCTGTTAATTTTTATGCCGATTTTGGACTTACGGAGGCTTAAGGGATATAATTTAATAATTTCATCAGGTGGATTTTGTGATGTTATGTGTAAGGGTGACGAAAAAAATGGGCTTTTGTTGGTTGGTTCCTTTCTGCAATTTATGAAAACTACTATCTGATGTATGTATGTATTTAAAGAAAAGCGACAATTATTTATTTCCAAACAAAATACAACTGATATTACTATTATAATGGTAATATGAATTGATTTTGATTCTATTTGAAATTCGTACACATCATCTTCCAACCCCACCTCATCTTGTAAGCTACCAAAAAAATGCATCAAGACTTTATATTTTGCAGAAGCAGGAAATCTTTAAAGACTTTGGTAGTGGGTCTATCAGCCTGCTTTTTTACAAAAAAGATCCAACCCACTTGCAGATATTCTACAGATTCTAATTCTGGATTAGTAATCCACACTATTATTGAATGTTGGTTGGTTCAATGATTAATAGATTTCACTACACTTGCATTTTGGCTATGACCTATTTTGCAGATAAATTATACATACTTAATTAGTTCATAGGCTAAATATCTCGATTTTTTTGGTTTTGTGGGTTGGTTCCTTTCTGCAGAAAGGCGTCCAATTGTTAGGATAATGTTTTATATTTACCTCTAGCGTATCTTCTGTGACTTCGCTGATGCTCATGTTTAACGATTTCGACAACATTGGAAACGGTGTCCGAAAAGCCAATGTCATGATGAAGCTGATACTTTCTTCGTGGCGAAGGACTTCTTTGGAGGGACGGAGAATTTCCTCGTCTTAAAAAACATTTTGTAATATCGTAATAAAAATATTGTTCCTTAAATTTTTCAATATGGACAAATAAACATCAACAATTTATTTTGCACACTAAATTAGTTTGGCAATAAATTAAAGCAAGATAAAATTTGAAAATATGATGAAAAAAATTTCTTTCTTTCTTTATACCTTAGACTTGGAGATCTATGATGTGAATTTCCAAATCCAGGATGCAGATGTTGTTGGTCACCTAAACTGTCTACTGACGGCCTACGCGATCCGAGTACATCTTGCAAATCCATAACCTGAATTCATATTAAACTTTATACCATATAAAATAAATAGTAAGTAAATTCTATCCAATAAGTTTTTTAAATAACCTAACCATCATCTAGATAAATAAATTCTAAAAATCTAACAGTCCCATTCATAACAGGTCCTGCTTATTAAGATATTAATAAAAAATGCATGCAAATATAAGTATTAGTAAAAACATGCTTACATGTGCACAACAATGAAATTTAATATATGTGCTTAAGGTTTTTTAATGTAATAAAATAGGATAATTTGCTCAAATTTACTATTACCTACAGTATTCAATTTACAATACCCTAAATAAACTAATAACTAATTTTGCGATAATACAAAGAATACTATATTTTTGCAATTGTTTACTTTTTATTTTAATTTACTCTTTAATTTAAAATTACTTTCCTGTTGTTGTCCTAGACATTTCTGGGTTTTTATATTATTGCATTAAAATGTGTGTTTAATTGGTTATTTTTTTTGTTTTAAATTTGTATATTATCACCACTAAATACGTATTCCTGTTACTTGTCCATGCAGATGTAATACAAGAGTTAATATTATTTTTAATATCTAGTTGGTAAGTTGGACATTTTACTACTTGGTAGTTTTTCTAAATTGACTAAAATACCTTCTAGATGTCTCTATCTTATAACTATAACATCATTATCTGCCTCTGTAAATGAACATTCAACAATTATAGTTTTCGACATCCTATCGTTAAAATATCTAACACCACTAGACTAACACTCAGTTACCACCATTAGACTCTTTTTCACCTTTTTGTTCCTAAAACAATAATTACAAATTAATATAAATCCTTACGAATATCAATTAGATAATTACCTTATGGACCGATTTCTTTTAGTGCTTCTCCTGGCCAAGGTGGCTAGCGAGCTCTCCTCGTGGGCATGCTCAGTATGCTCTTGGGCCCCCATGAGGGGGGCGCCCTCTAGACTCAGAGACCCTGTACGACTGCCGCCGCCCAATTGTCCCGCCATGTCCATGAGGCAGTCAAAAAACGACGCTTTCTAACAACACACGACCACAAGAAAACTTTCATTTTAAGCCAAAAAGACAACTCAGACACGTGGAACACGTTACAACTCTTTCTTGATGATTTTATGTTTATCTTTTATATTAAAACTCTGTTAAACGGTTTTACCAAAACCTAATTTTTATCTATTTGTTTTAGTTAGACCAACCATTATTTGATTGTTTTTAAATAAAACTACAGGTTGGTCCTTGCAAGCTAAATAGTTACTAGTGCTATTGCAAAAATATCTAAAATAGTTAAATATAATGTGGCCAGAAATTTTAGTAAGGTTTATTTCACATTTAGATGTCATGCGAAAAGATTTGCATTTGAAAAATAGATATATATTAAGGATAAACAGTTCTATTTCAAAATTACTAATGGTTCCATCCGCAAAACAAATCCAATATTAAAAATAATGTTTTAATGACCTAATTTTTACAAAGGTTACTATTATCAAAATATTGACAATATTGTATTGGGTGTGTTATATTTTATCAAATATTATATTGACGACATAGATATCTAGGATTGACGTGTTTAGTATTTTTTATTTGCTTGACGTGCGAAGATGTTTTAAAGTGCTTCGTATTAAAACCTTTAAAATTCATGCAACAAAAGGAAGTTAGTAAATACTAAATAACTAATTGTTATACCTTCCCCCAAAAATTATATTGCCCTGACTCCCCTTCACAAAAAAACTTAACAAAATACTATTTATTATCAATTCACGTAAGGTAACCCAAACTATATTATAGATAAAAAGTTATTCAATACTTAATAACTAATTGCTATATCTTAAAATTAAATTATCTAGATTCTGCAGAAACCATGGTTACCTAGTCACGTTTGCTGTGTGATGCGTGTTTTAGAGACCAGATCATATTTTAATTTTTTTGCGGTTGAGATCCAAAACGGTCTTTGAATTTGAGTTTAGGTCTCTATGGTTTAGGTCATCTGTCAAATTAATCTTTTCTTCGATATGATTTGACCATTTTTTTAAATCAAAATTTAATAGAAAGCTTGGGGAAGGTTGCGGGTTTTTTCTTTTGAAATACTAGGCTGCTTAATTTTAGGTTCCATTTTGAAATCGCAATAGGAATTTATTCTGACAGTCTTTTATTGCCGTCATCAAATTTTAAAATTAACTGCGATACCAACTTTGTTAAAAAAAAACAAACGCGATAATTGTCATTGTACCAGTTAGTTTCGGCTACCGTACGTGAAATGAGAACCACCCATATAGTAGTCAAGGAATAAAAAACATTATTTATAACATACATGGTGTCGCAAGCCACCGAAAAATATTTTAATCACAATCCACACAAGGTCTGCTTCGCGCATACTAAAAATCAAAAAGTTAGGCAACCAACTGCACAGACTTTAACGGCGGCCATTTTTATTTTGTTTATAATTCTTGTGTTTTGGGTTTGTGCTGTTGCTGGTTGCCCTTGGCACTTTAAGGCCTCTTTTACGGCTTACAAATGCCTTATAACACAACGTCTAAAACAATTATTAATCTATATAAACAGCGCAAACCCGAAGCAAAAGAATTGTAAACCACATAAAAATGGCTGCCGTAAAAGTTTGTGCAGTGGGTTGCCTAACTTCGTGATTTTTAGTATGCGCGAAACAAGATAGAACAGATAGAACGGATTGTGATTTTAATAATACATTTTCGAAATCGTCAAAATTAATTGAGAAATAGCACTATTTAATAAGCCAATCAAAGTGCGGTCAAAGTAATAAATAGGGCTCGGATTTTTATGTAATTAATAAATGCATATTTTCAAGTTTTTACTTAAAATGGACCCATAAACACATATTTTATTCTTATAATCCTGTTGAACAGGTATCTAGCTATCGACTTTGCAAACACGTCATTATTATAATACCGGATTATAAAATATAATTTAAATTGAACTAAACTAATAATAAACTAATAAACCTATTGATTAATTGTTATACCTCGGTTGTATAATTTGTTTATGTGTGCGTTTTTCTCAATTCAATTTAATCAGTTATATGTAAAAACCCTATCGGCATAAACGTTCACAAGTGACACAAGTTGTATCACACAATACATTGGAACTGCAAAGCACATAAAATTTGCTTTATTAAAACGATCAAACGAATGTTCGATAACAAGCACGGCTGCCAAAAATACGAATGGATCAAACTCGGATTTTTTTAAAGATATAAGTATAATAATATTAATATCAAGTAAACCAAACTTTCCGTACCATATGGTCCACAGTGTGGTTATGAAAAATTTGTTAAAATAGTGGTGATGAACACATGGAATTAGAGGACTTCAATATACGCGATATAAACTGCGCACCACTCAATGTGTCGCGACCAAAAAGTTCGTCCTTTTTCAAAACGACATAACTCTTTTGTTTCTTGAACGATTTTATTTTGGTCTGTGATTTCTGCTAGCCCCATCCTCTGGCTATTCATGCTATAGATATGAAGCTCACGGTTCTTCAAGTAAATTTCGTACAGGGTGATATGTAAAACGGTCAAAAATTTCAATAACTTCATCCAAGCCCCGTTTGTAAAAGAATAATTTCTTTCTCGTTTTTACTTTGAAATAATGAAGTATTATGTCTTACCTTGAAAAGGTTTTCAATTTTTTTGGATTGGAATCTTAGCAAAGAAAATATGTTTTTTTTTTAAAGAGTACATTTAAGGCTTTTTGGTAGGCAATATACTCAGTCTTTTTAAGAACAAGGAGATAAGATGGTGAAATATTGTTCCTTGAATAATTCTGAAGAAGCGACAAGCAACAAACTTCCATTATTTTAAGAGGGGCCTAAGCAAAGACAATTTTTTTAAAATGACATTTTGGTGAAAATTTGCGAAAACCAATCCTGAACCGATATTTACGTTCGTGACATGTTTTCTTTATAATTTTGACCTCCTGCTTGTGATTCAGTTGTCAAATTTAAGTTTCAGATAAAGAGAATATATAATATATTTTTAAGCTATATAAGTGAGGTACAAAAATAAAACGGTTAATTCGCCACAATATTTGGTGAATCATTAACATTTAACAACTAATAAAATTGACGTTGGATGTATAAATATTTTAATTCTCTGATCTGTTAAAAAAGTCAACTGCTTTGCTTCTCGAGATCTTAGGAAGCAGTTATTGTACCTTTATCGATTACACTTTTATGTAATCAATAAAGGCATAATAACTCAATAATAGCGAATCGAATAAAAAAAGTGAGAGATATAGAAAAGTTTCAATTATGAAGCGTTAAGAAAAACAATTTATAAAACTCATTGGCGTAGCACAAATTTTAGTTAGAGGATTCGGGGTAAATCAATTTCGTAAAATAACAACACTCTGTATATTAAATGCGAATTTAGTACCAGAATATTGTAGAACATGTTATATACCTAGTTATGCCAAATTTGTAAATAATAATAATAATAATAATAAACAGTTTTATTTATTGTCAAGTACAAAATAAACTAAAATAATTCAAATTCATTCTCAATAATTTTAAAGACAATAAAAAGGAATCTGGAAGGCAGTTTTAAACTAATTTTAAAATTCCAATCCCTAATACCTAAACAGTTTTCTAAGATATATAAAATTTTAATTTTCTTTGGATTTCTCGAAATCTAAGATACTTATCCCTAAAATCCACATAAACTTTTCGTCACTAAATCTTGTGGAGAACCTTTTTTTATTTTTTTACCTCAATTTGGAATCACCCTGTATAGCATATTTTTGACTTTTTAAATGCATAAAAATCCTAGTCCTAGTAATAAACAATTAATCCAAAGGCTCTCTGATAGAGATTATTTTCAGCAAATTTGTTTAAAATAAACTTGACAGCATTGTTGAGACAGAACGGAAATAGCTCGTTCTGGTTGGTTACTAAAAAGTGCTAGATATCAAAATTCGGTGAAGACCTTAGACCATATTATGGGTCTTATATTAGTTAAAACATTTTCCGTCAACTGCGGAAACCCTTGTAACCTGGATTAGTTTTGTTCATTTAACCATAAAAAAGTCTACCTTAAAATTTTCTACATGCTCAATAATTCATGCATAAAAACACTAAGAAATGTTGAACACATGATTAAAATAAATTAATGCATCTTTTTTATATCGAAGAATAATTTAAAAAAGATGAAATGGAAAAAGAATTAGTTTAGGTTTTTGTGAAAAAATGATATCCTTTTAGATAGATTTTCTTTAAATATATAATAAAGTATATAGCAGTAATACTAAAACTAAATTTTAGAGGGTTAAAAATTGAGTTGTCAAAAAAGCAAAGAGTAAAAATGTAAAATGGTCTTACAACTAACTAATTGTAAGAAGGTTAAGTCATGCATAAAATAAAATATACACTAAAATAGACAAAATACAGACATAAATTAAAACTTGCAGAACAGAGAGGACTGGACAAGTCGATACAGTACAGGCACTAGTTAATCTATAAACAAATCTTAGATAATTTACTTAAAGGGTATTAAGAGGATAAAAATCATAATATATAATTATTAGTATATTTAATTGGTGGGATAATTTAAGCAAATGATCTAAGATAAAAGTATCTACAGGACTGTACTATGAATGAGAATATTGAAAATTTTAAAAAGTGGCTAAAATTAAAGGGAGTATGATATACTACCGCGTGATTTGTTGTAGGACTATTTCCAAAACCCTGAAATAAATATAATAATAGTTATAGGGCACTATTTTGAATGTGCTAGTGCTAGTTCTGTTGTGTATCGTGCCTTCTCATTTATAATACGAGATTGACGGTATTAAATTGTATTTTGATCGGGGGTCTAAACTTCGATTTGTGGTTTAGGAGTAGGTACACTTAACTACGACAGTCAGTGTCTATCTGGAAACAACATGTACTAAACACCTGGAAATGGCTAGACCAAGGTATCTTTATATAAGTTTATGCAATTTTATTGGAAAAAAAGATAATAATTACTAGAAATAAAACATTTAGAAACAAA